TTTTTCAAGTTGCTCTATAAGTTCATATCGTTGTTCGACGAATTTAAACCATTGTTGACGAAATTTATCATATGTACTTTGATTTCTTGAGTATCGCACAGTTTGAGCATGAAAATAATTGAAAAAATGTTTGACATGACTTTCAACAAATAATAATGAATAACCACTAATAAGATAAGTTAATTCAAGAGCAATTCGTTCCTGTTGAAAATCATCAACTGATGTACAGTAACATACAGCACGAATTAAAGCTGTTCGTAACCAATCACTATGAGCTGATTTTGAATGACCCAAGAGATATGGTAATGTATAACGTGGCATATTCGAATCATAATGTACACGAGTATATAATTGACCTTGTCGATTTTCGATAGAAGCATTTAAAAATTCGACATTTGTACCAATAAATTTTTGAAAACGTACATTCTGATGTTGTTCTCGAATGTTTTCTATAAATGTTTCAAGTTCGAGAGCACTTGATTTATTCCATGTAAAAAATATTTGATCTTTATATCTAAAAAATATTCAATTTGAATTAAACAACTTTATAATTTGAAAAAAGAAATATGTTAAAAGAAGAAAATACCTTCCAAAAAATTCTATATTTCGATCAATTTGCTTCCATATTTTCTTTTGCCATACAAATAAATAAATATTTGATAATGTTTCTGTTAATGCCATTGTATTTGGGCTACCTTTTGTACATTTATAGATATTATCCTTGTACAAAAAGATATTATTATAAAGAAATACATATAAGAGATTTTTAATAGTTTGAATTGTTAATGATTCAAGTTTGTTCATCACAAAATTATCTTGTAAAAAATAACCAATAACATCAATCATATTTTTATGTTCATCTAATGTATAAAAATTTGTTATTTTAATTGTACAAAAAAGTGTTGTTGAACGAAGACGACGTTCTGTATTAGCATAATGATTTAATTTTCGAATAAAATCAGTTTCATCAACAAATGTCGTTGGATGTAGAATTTTATTAGCAAATGGTTGTAATAATTGATTTAAATATTTGCCAATTTTCCATGTTGCACTAAATCGTGATGTAATAATAGGTACTAAAGAAATATCATTTTCCTAAATAAGCCAACAAAAAAAGAAAAAATTAAGAACTAAAAGACATGTTTTCTTACATTGGAAATATTTGGTAAGAAATATAAATGTGGTAATTTTATTTTATTTGAATCAGCAACTAATTGTTTATATAAATCATCTTTAATAGCTTTATGTGCTTTTAATTTTTCTAATAAAGAATTCATTGAGTCAATCATTTCTTTTATTGATAGATCTA